GGACCCGACGTCCATATAATTGTAAGTCAATGGCTATAAAGTAAATTCATTATGAAGTCTACCAGTACATCATATATGATGAGTGCTGACAAAGGGGCGGCTGCTACTGACTACATGGCCTGGGGCCTTGGGCGGCCAAGACTGGAAATCCGCCGTCGGAGATCCCAATGTCCGGCAGTGGACTCCGATAGGTTATTTCTTGGCCTACGCGTATAATCGGCCACATTGTTGCTTAATATTAAGAGAGATTGTTACAAGCGTGTCTCTGTTGCCGGATAATGTATTCCATACCTTTGTCGCACGCGTCGTAAGTTTTCTGTGCAATGTAAAGGCAGGAAACTGTTTAACGTCCTAATCCAGTTAGAAGTTGGGTGAATAATTTACAGTTACTTTGAGTCTAGTTTCGCATTGCGAGACTGTGAGCGACTGGCGTTGAACGATTCACTTTTCCAATAACACAAATGTATTTGTGTGAAAGTGAATCGAAGTTTTTGTGTTTACAGAATGTATCGTTCGGACCTTCTGTAGAATAAAATTTTCTCCCTTATCCCTCGAGGGAGTGTGGACCTTGATTGTAGGCTTCTTTTTTTAACAAAGTTAACTTCAAAATAGTGTAAAACTTGTAAAATGATTAGAACGTACGAGCTGGTAGTAGCATTTATAAATTGAGAAGTCGTTGTTTGGAACCCTATAATTTCCAATCGGATGTTACGGCGCATGACTTTAATTTCTAAGTTACGTAGTTTAGCGAATACTTATTAGGAATTTCTCTCGAAAACGGCGAAGATAAATATTGTGGTGGAACCAGCATTTCGAAGACGTATCACAACACTTAGCATTGTATTAAATAAATGATATTTTTTTATATTTGATAATATTTTAATTGTTCCGTGTATATTAGTTGATGACACTATCATTATGTTTAAGCATACTAAATTAATATTTGCTGTTCAAAAATAATACTTGATCCTGTTTTTTATCAGTGGTCCTTTTTAACGTTTCTAACGTTTGTTGACATTTACAACCAGTATATCTTTTGATATTGATCTCCTGATAAATCTTGGTTGCTTGGTCGCACCCTTCATTCAATAGGTTAGGTTAAGTTAGGCTAACAAAAGGCTATAGCCTAAACTGTCCCCTTAGAGGATGCACGTGGCCAGCAGGTGGACGTACAATAGGAGAAAAAGTATCCAGACGACCAGATGTCGTCAATTCGTCATAATCCTTGTCGTTTGGAATTCTACGACGCTATAACAAACCGTACCGTAACGATAAAAGTCAACGTTGGGATCTAATTTGAATAATTCCAAGTTTCTACAAAAATGCCTATTTTAAGTAGTTTTTAATCGACTTCAAAAAAAAGGAGAGGCTATACGTTCGACTGTATGTACCTCAAATTGTAAATTTTAAAGACACTGCCATACCGATTTCTCCGTGAATTGTGGACCGATTTTGAAAATTCCCTTTATGTTTGAAAGGGTATACACTCGAGGTGGTCCTTGATACCAAATATGCTGTTCCGGCTATCACAAATCTAAAACATATTTTCCGCAAACAAAAGTTGACTTTTCACTTCACACGATACATGTAATCAACAAATCACCGTCACTATGACAAACAGAAAAGAGTATTAAATGTACAAAGGAGTCCAGTTGTCAGTCCCATTGTCACCAAGAAGTCAGAATCTGATGAGGGATCCCGTGGAAAGTATTATATATATAAATATTATTATATTATAATATAATATTATGTATATAAGTATTATTATATAGTAGAAGTATTTAAGTAGAACTATCAATGTCAAAACCAACAAGGTAAATAGCTAAAATCTTATAAAATTTAGTAAACAGTGTCTACTAAACAGTCTAATGTTTTTTTTTTACTTAAAGCCAGTATTTACAAATTGCCATTTTTCGTATGTCAAGCACGACGAATTTGTAGGATTTCTCACTAGGTACTTATTATTTAATTACCGACGTGTCAGTCGCCACACGATTTTTGCCACGAAAACGATTTTCCATTTCTTGATTTAGTCCATTCAAAAACCAGACATTAAATACAGCGCTTTTTGTTATAAATGTTTTTTTGTAATAGCAGTAGATCTTACCTATTTATGCCACCGAACAGTAATGTGAGCATTACTGAGTTTCGGTTCAAAAAGACAAGGGTGTTGATGAAATTACAGGCACATGGGACTTATCAACTTACGTCTCAGGGTCACGGGCGCAGTGGCAGTGTCCAGTTCCTTGCGACTTAAAGCTCTGAATGGCACTGCAACTGTTATGGATAGGGTGTCGCTTACCACCAGGCGCACAACTTATTCATTCCGTTACTTGGTATTATAAAAAAATGTCCATTAGTATTGCAGAAAAACAAAAAATCTTTTGAATAAATTCTAATAGTAAACCGGGAATATGTGTACACGGTCGCAACGTTATGTCGGAGCCATACTACCTTCTACGGGTGGAAAAATGTTCCGTAGCCGCTCGAACTAATGGGTTTCTTACTATCATTACTTCTTCATTCGACTCCACTACCCTTATTAAGTTTCGAAAATGTCATTCATTTGGTTATTAGATTTGCTCTTATATTTTTGTTTTTGTAGTCTCATGGTAAATATGGATACAGATGCAATATGATATAGTAGTACATTTTGTTACTGTACTCAATGATATCTCAGTTATCTAAAAATATGACATGGAATGCGAATTTCAACCTTATTAGTTTATAGTCAAATGTCGACCGTGTGGCCGCACAATGTTTTCCTGATTAAAAACTTTCGACTCCAAAAAGAAGCCGAATGAACGAAACAAGTTGTTTACTGTTACTGTTAAGTACTTACACACGGCGCCGCCGCGCTTAAATTCGGCGGCGGTGGCGACTGTGACTATGGAACGTATTCTTTAACACAAATCTAGTGCAGGAGCAGTAGTGGTCTGTGCCACATAAAATATTGTTTCTGCTGTCGTTTATAATTTATAATTGAAAATTCACCAGACATTGCTGCGGGCACTATTTACGTCTTAAAGGATATTATGACTGCATCGAATTTAAGAAGCCGTCCTGTAAAGTGCAAAAAGACGTACAACCTAGTGTAGTACAATACCGCGCGGTGCCGTGTGTGGCACACCTAACAATTCGTAAGTATCATTAGCATTTATTGACATGAACAATCTGGTTAGTTAAAACAGTTCTTTGTTTCAATATTTATCGAGTTTTTGAGTTTTGGTTTCCCTTTTTTTTAGACTTTTAATTTTAGTAAGTTTTATATAAATTGTGGAGTTGTCGAAATTCGTGCAGAAATTATTATAAATAATTGAAAATTGTCTTAAAGCCTGACTTAAAGTTATAGCAACTCTTTCTTCTCTAGAGTTTACTTTGATCTCAGTTTGTCGAGGCAAGAGATAAGTTCTCGTATGATCTTTTATGCGTATGCCAGTGACACATGAAAGCGCGAGCAGGCACGCAAGGGATTTTTAAGGCAAGTAATTATGGTCAGTCCCATATCATTCTACATAAGTGTTTTTGCTCGTAGTGCCCCTACCTTCAACTTCTTGGTTATGCGGGAAAGGCACTATAACCTGTGCGAGCTCGCACAGGAACATGTCTACCTCATCCTCTACTAGCGCTCCGGGCTAGTGCCGGAGATGCCAAGTGGCCATGTCCTGCGACAATGTCCGGACACCAACTTAAAGGGCAACTCACGTGCCCCGCGCGTCTCCTCGCCTCATGCCGTCAGATAGACCGCGAGACGAACGCCTCGGTCACACACTACCGGGGTAGACGAACGTGTTCGTCCCTGTAGCTAACCACAAACCCCGGCGAGTCCATACCCAAGTCCGGCTCCGCCAGAGACGCCCGTGAAAACTATAACTAGCGGAGGGCTTGGTCCGGACGCCCGCCGTACCCTGATCGGTAAGATCAGAAAACCGTCTCCGGAAAAGCCTATCTCTCGGATCGGTACATAGGGATATAGTAATTATGGTCAGTCAGTTTTTGGGTTTTCTTTAAACTAACCTTATTGGTGAAACGTTATACTCCTAGTCAAAAACCGTGGGTTAATTGTCATCATCGCTGCAGGTTCAATTTAGAATTATACTAAGCCATTATCCTTTGCCGAAATCATGTTCATTCTGCACCTTCGCGTTTATTGTGTGTAGTCATTTCGTTATTGTCTGGCAGGTAAACATTGTAGTTCAAGTGTTATATTAAAAGTTATAGAGTCGATAACACAGATTAACGACGTGTTATCGTCAACTGTATTGTTGTGGTGTAACTTTCACTTACAAGTTTAGTAGAGTTCCAAAACTAAATACTGCAAGTTGTACCTCCGTTTACTTACTCATAATATGTACTCATACTGTTTAAGGGCTGCATTAGGTCGAGGTTCTTCACAAACAACATATTACAATACTTATCACAGTTACGTTAGAATATGACTACTACATTTATATATTACGAAATCAATAAGATACCAGTTAGAAAGTATGCCTAAGTGGAAACGATATGATATTTTTAAACGTGCGTATGTAATGAATTTAGTAAATGATATTCGGGAAGTGTTTTGCCGTCGCGACTGTTTAGAGTAGCGAACTGTAGTGGAACAGGTTTCTACATAGATTAACGGAGTCGTTGCCGCAGACTTGTCTCCTGCCCTGCAAGAATTCGCTGTCGCACAACATCTGGTGTTCAATTTTGAACATTACAAGTCTCTTATGAACTGATAAAGTAAAGTAGGTGAGAATATTTAGGGAACACTTCAAAGTTTCTTGATACTCACATTTGTGTCTTTTTTCTGCACAAGAGACATGATGGTAATATTCAGATAGTTTGTAGAAAAGGCTTAGCTAAAAAGTCAGTATGTGCAAGTGGACCTTTCTAACCTGATGACGTAGTCTGTGGTAAGTTCGGAGAGCGGTCCACGCAGCAGCGCCACGGCGGCGCGCCAGCAGCGGCGGCAGCGGCTGGCAGCAAGGAGCCATCACAAACGCACGGCGGCCGCACCGCGCCGGACGTCTCCCGCCGCGCCGCACCCGCACCACTCACGAACTTTTGTTCGCTCCGACCAAATTGTTCATATCAATTTTTATATTTACAAAGTTCAAAGGTGCTCCACTGCCTTCTATGTGTGTCAAATTAGTGAATGTTAAGCAGTGCTAGTGTAGAGTTATAAAGCTTTTTGTACAAAATGAACGACATCGCCGTCAACGGAGACGCCGAAACGGGGATCACAGAAAGGATCGACAGGTTTGTAAAAGAACTTTGAACTTTTTTTCCTATTTAAACCGATCGCTGTCTAATACTAATTAATACGTTCACGTTAGTTGAGTTATACAAGTCATTACGACAGTTGAGCCGCGAGTTAATGAATAAGATTACCAAGTTCGTTAAAGTTTCTTTCTTTTCATTTAGCTTGATTAGCTCGCAGAAACTCGGGAGCACGGGCAATAGGTTCATTCCGGTGGCAATTATTGTAAACCGACATATCTAATAATTAATCACAAATTAGTGATAAAATGTAAAAGACTTAATCGACATAAAATTGTTTTCATTAATGTTGCGGCATTAACATACCTGCCTGCACAGAACAAATCACGCATACCAATATTATATCGATAAGTGCACCGTGAATAATGCGAAGAATTTAAATACTTTTTTTGCGTTTCTAGTTATTGGAATAAATTATTGGAACCATTTAATGTGTAAATTTTGTTTACGTTGCGTATTATTTTTAAAAGCTGAGTAAATAGTTATTCACATAGAGACGTAATTAAAATAGCGGGCGCCCGCGTTTTCGACACATCAATCGACGCAATGTTTGGAAACTCATCGGAAGTGAACGTTCCACGTCACCTATAGACGTTGCAGTGCAATAGCATGCATTAATGTCGTTCATGTAATCTAATTTTAATTGGTTCCGAAATACTTGGAATAAAGAAAAAAATTTTTCTTTCATTCACCACGAAAGTTAAAAAAAATTATCAAGAAAACTGATTTCAGATATTTACAAAGAAACATTTTCTGCCAATGCCATGCGAATATAAACTCTTCATACGTCCAGAACTTAAGGTCCAAAAAATTACGACAATGTCGAATATTTGTACAGAATAGGATCATTGTTAGGTCACAGACCGCTTCTCGAAAATTTCAATTGCGATCTTACCCTAGACCGGTCCTTGTATGCTTATTATCCATACTTAATTGCCCACCCCCGACGTCATCATAATATATCTCAATTCAAAATTATAATAACATAACGCGATAGAGTAGAGTCGATCGTGCGTCTTGTCTTGCATAAACTTATTTACAAATGCTATTTTAGAATCCCGTATCCACAATGTACACATAAAGGAACTTCAAATGGAAGGCCAAATAGCGTTGATTTATTAACATTTCCATCGCCATGTATACAGTCGATTCGTAAATTCGAGCGAGGTAGACAATGGCCCGAGGTGGGCTAACCTGCTTAACATTTCAAAGCGCATTCAGAACAGAATATCTACCCGTATGCTCTATATCTCATTGCTTATCGGGATAGCACAACAAATGCCGTAAATAATTTTGAAAATAAAATTATACCGTAGACTACAATTATTTATCTCCTTCAATAGCGACAGTAACGTGCTGAATAAACGAATATGTTTGCAAGTCTGTCTAATAGACTTTGTTTGACTATTTTAAAAGACCTAATAAAGAAAGGTGTCTCAAAAGCACCTCTCAATTCTATAGAAAATTTTTCAGACAGAATTGATTAAGTAAAACACTTAAATTTAACATTTTGGTGCGGTAACTTTTGTAAGTAGGGTTCTTTGAATACCAAGTTAGTTATTGTAACACTTGGGCTTGTAGCTAGAGCGCACCTTGCTTTGAAAAGCCAAATTTTATGCAAACGAGTATGAGACTTCATAAATAATGCTGTTATATTATATATATAGTAATTTATTTCCAAATCGTTTATTTCAATGTCTGTTATCAGTTATACAAAAACCCAACTTCGACTGTAGATATTTATCACAAATGGTTCTGGAACAATGAGTAGATATTGAAGTGAGCCGCATAATATTACAAATAGCACAAAGATAACCCAGAGATGAACTTTTACGTGACGCCTATGTCAACGTGTTATTATAATATTATAATTGTTGTGATTTGGCTGCGATGTATCTGCTGGCAAAGGTTGAATATCTCTGACAATGGTTGCGTAAACATTCAATTGAATAATTTATTCCTCGACGTTTTTTTCGAAATCTGTTACCTGTGTATTTTCGTATTCATCATTTATAAATATATTCGCAAATTTATTCATATTATTTAACTTAGTAAGAACTATTTGGCAATAAACAACTGTTGGTAACTCTAGCAAATATTTATTTGCTTATTCAACTGTAGACAAATTCAAACTAAAAGGACTGTACGTGAAGTACGATTTTGACCTGCAACCCGCCTCAATGTTTCTGTAATGTGTACATTTTAGTAGCTGTAGAAGTGGAAGAGTGAAAGAGTTCGTCCGTAGAAGTACAACCAGCTGACCTATTTCCGCCGCCAAGCAGTAACGTGAGCGTTACGGCGTTCCGGTTTTGAAGGTTAAGAAGGGTACTAGTGAAATTACAGGCACATGAGACTTGTCAACTTCTGGTCTCAGGATGACGGACGTAGGGGCCTCAGATGGGCCTCTGAGTGGCCCTGGGAATGCTATGGACAGGCGTGTCGCTTAGTACCTGTAAGAAAATATATAACGCACGGCGTGATCCCAGTAGTTTTGCTAGGTCAAATACGCAAAAGGCTAAAACGCGGCTGAATCCAAGTCGTGGCTTGAACTAATGGTAAGCTATCGCTAATTCCTTTAGAAAGGTTTCGGCTTCACGCACAGGTCATCTCATCCAGCGCCTACGTAGCTCCTTTTAAGCCGATGCCAACCTTGAGGACCCACGCGTGACTCGAACCGTCGATGTTAATGGTTCGCCCTAAGTAAGTAATCTTGTAGAACTAAATATCTGACATCGTATGAATGATGTAATAACACATGCTTCATTTATGTGTTTTGGAATTAAATTACTCGAAAAAATTAAAAACATATCGAGTTCTTAGGTTTGCGCGATTGTTACACATTGGAAATATAAATAAAATAAATAGACTTCATTCTTCAACACAACACGTACAACATTTACTATAAAACAATTGCTTAAGTATATGTCGCAGAAAAGGTAAAAGCCTTTAGCAATTTCCTGGCTTTTCAGGCTCTACCTGGCAAGTATTCACCGCTGAAAACGCCTTGGCATGTAGAGACGGGTATATTTTTGATTAAATATTTTACTACATTTGCTACAGAAATAACAAACCTTAAAACCTCAAGTGACATACCTACCGACTACCAACCTACAGTACAGTATGTACTGTAGCAGCAGAGAGTATTTTACTGGAACAACTTATTGTTCAGATTTAAATCGCGTATTTCTTTTTCAAACAAACTAACATTTCTAACCCTTTACAGGTCCCATAGTCACACCGTAAACATGTTTTTAAGACTGACTGGCAATCACCCGTGGAACCTGGTAAAAGGCCTCAAATTTTGTAAATCCGAAAAAATACTTTTATTTCCAAAATAAATAACACACATATTTTTATAACGAATTATAGAAAATATCGACCTCAAAATTTCGTGGAATTACATCTATTTGTCAAGTTTTATTGAAATCAGTTGACGGAAAGTGACCGAGGTACCCCCTTCCCAACAAAAAAGGAATCATCGAAACCTGTTCGCAAATGTTACATAATTTAACATGTAACATAATTGAACACACACAAAAAATGCATTCGCTTCTCAATGCGATCTATTTTTAAAGTCGAATAAAAAATGTTATTCGTCACAAACACATCGTAATCTGCGCAAGCACCATTTCCAGCTTCTTATTTGAAAGACAATATGCATTCAAATTTAAAAGTAAAAGGTACAACGTTCTCTCGTTCCCCAAATAACAATCCAATGAAGGAAACCAGACTCCTACAATAAGGCAAGAGATATCAAAATAATTGCTCATTCAATTCCAGGGAGACCGAGGAGAACGTCTAAAGATATGATAGTGTTTAAAAACGAATTATGAATCTCACGTTGTGTGGGATGCCATTAATTTTTTATTCGCTCACAAAGATGACATTGAAATTTTCGTTTTTAGTAACGAATTTTTACTAAAAACGATTTATTTAATTAAGGTAATATACAGGTAAGGTAAAAAAGACAATAAGAGCTTAACTACGACAAAGCAAAACTAGGATTTTTAAAAATTTTTAAATTATATGAATAAAATTGGGTCTCCGCGGTGCCCAAGCTGCTGGCAGCGTTCTCCCTTTGTATTGCTATGTCAATGCGTTGGGCAAAGTAGCTGCCGGCCCTTGGGTTTCCCAGACAGTCTATTAATTTTATCGATAAAATTTTGTACAGATGACGGCACTGGGACCCCACGGGCCAAGGGTTTGCTACTTGCTGTCGAAGTTGGAGATAATATTTACAAACCAGTATATACGAGTTTTTGTCAAAGCAAGGTGTTTGTAAGACTATGAAACCAATTTTCGAAATTACATTTATAATAATAAAATAACGCACACACTCAACGTAGCCCCGCACTATGGAAACCATTTATCGCGGGTACTATGTTAAGTTACGAGAGAAATAAATGTAGGCCATATAAATATTTCAATCCAGGTTTTGTAACCGTTCGGCCACGGGGGCATTTAAAAATATTACATACATAACGGATTGTTAATATAAAATAGTGTATTAACTCAAATATAGTATTTATTTCAATATACCGATGAAAAACGAATTACTCACTTCCCGTGAAAGATTATTAAAATGTTTGTACAGGTTAAAGTTTACTACAAACATCCAAACAATTATCTACTCGCCAAAAACATTTAAAAACAAAAGCGAAGAAATAATAATAATAACGCACATACCTATAGCCCCATACTAGGGAAAACCTGAGTCAGGGGTGCCGTGGACATACACATACAAAAAATGTTAAGCCATATATTTCTAAATATATTTAGACCAGCATGGTAACCGTTCGGCCACGGAGGCATTGAATATAATTTCATATTTTTTTAGTAACAACTGTTTTGTCCAGAAATTGAGCACAAAAGCTTTGTGTCATTTAGAGTTACGTGGATATCTTTTAATCTATGATAAGATAAATATCTCACAATATTCTAAAGACGGTTGTGTTGAGTGTAGAGGTTTAAATTTTGCG